GCTAGACCGCCTAAACCTAAAATTTCACTTTATCACTTGGTTACATTAAGTCTTTTATTAGTTACACCTTTAGCGCTTTGATATATATTTTCTCGATTGTTGATAGGATTCGTCTATCGTCTTTCTAGAGCGGCTTTAGGTCTTAATTTATTATACATTTCCACTTTACTCTCCTTTCCAGAAGCGCGGATTATCTATTTCTTAACTCTTTTTGCAACATGCACCGTGCCGGTTTTTTGAACCGCGATCTGCCTGGTGCGACTGGGGTGCCATTAGAAAATGGCACCGACCAGCGTGATCGGCGGTGGTGTGCGATTCTGTGACGAATTTAGTGCACTATTGCCGTGCGGTCACGGATCGCCCTAGTTTGAACCTAGCCTCAATCGGATCAGCAATAGCTGAATTCTACATTTTATTCCTCCCCCACTGACTTAAGCTAGACATACATTATGTGAATTTCTGCCAGTCACCGGCCAAAATTCACACAGTGGGTGCCGCTGCCTGCACCCTTTCAACCAGCATCCCTTGATCAGCTGATCGAAGCAGCCAGTCAGAAAATCTTCAGAGGAACCGAGCCGGCACCCAATCAGCTGCCGGCTCGGTTTGGGTATTTTGACAGCGGCTGGTGCGTACAAAGTGAACTGCGGGGATTCCTTAATCAACGCTGGTAAGCAGTGATGGAGGAATCTGGTCTATTTTTTTTTAATTCAGCCCACAGGTAGAGCGGAAAAAAAAATAGAACAGTGTTTGGGCAGCTTTATAAGCTAAATCTGTGGGGTTGTCAGGTTTTTGGCTCCATATTAGCTGCTCTACCGATACAGAACAGGAAGCAAAGTTATCGGCCAGATTTGACTATTTCAGCAGCTCCGCTTATTTTTATACAACGCAGCTTTCTTTTTCATCAGTTCTTATTAAGTGATGTATAGTTCTTTATTATGCTGACCATTTCCTCCTCATCCCTCCTCCATTTCCTGTAATTACCTGATAACTATTCAATTAAAGTTTATCTGAGTTAAATGTCTAGCCAGCCCTCATATAAACGTCGTGGTACTCTTTGTAAATTTCAGTCATAAAATAGATTGGTTACTACGCCCACGTCTGAGCGGTATGTGGAGGTAGTGTGCATCTCAGACGTGTCTCTCCACCCTTGTGCAGAGTTCAATGGCTTTGTGCACAGCTGGCTCTGAAAGAGTTAGTGTTCCATACAGAAACCCTCATAGGAGCAAAGTCTAGGATTACACATCCCCCGCTCCCTCATTACAACCAGTTCTAAAACTTCCCTTTCAGTTAAAGGGAGCAGCTGGCTGTGAGGGCTCCGAGCCAGCTGCAGAAGGGTGGAGCCGGGGGTTCCGTATACAAGGAAGGGGGGAACGCGGCGAAGATTTCCGCACCTGTTGTGAGGTGAAGCAACGGTGCTTGGAGAAAGCGGTGGGGGTCAGTAGATTTGCGGCTTAATGTACCATGAGAAAAAGTGATTGTCTCCTAGATCTAGTCACTTGAGTTACATAGGGTGACACTGAGTGACAAGCTTGCATTTTCCATATTTCAAAATAAGTAATTTTTTAAAAGCGTTTAGATCAGTGGTGGTCAACCTATTAGGTATAGGGGCCCTTTATTGTGGCCCCCTATACCTAGTGAATCTCTGAAGTCTCAAGTGCCAAAGTGCTGCAGATTGGGCACTAGGGGTTAACATGGTTTTCAGCTAAAGGTCACCATACACATTACAGTCTGACGGTACAGTCTTTGTACAATTTCCTTTAGATTTTACCCAAACGCTGTAATATGAGGATCTACATAATCTATGCAATAAATCTGTATACAGTCACGCAGGTCCTTGCACTGCAAAGTTGTTTGTAGATTTAAAGGCGATTGGTGAATCAGATTGTAAAGTGTGATGAGCCGTAGAGGAAATCTGCATATAGAGAATTATAGAGGCTGTCACTATTGACCCACACATAAAATGCTAGTTCCCTGGCTGTGTCTACCTTCATCGCTTTCTGAGACAATAGCCAGGGAACAAGCATGCAGATCAGGAAAGTAAGAGTAAAGTCAGAGCTCCTGAACTGTATTCTTGGATCAGGTCAGTGAAAGTACTAAAGACGTGAGGCTGGAATGGCAGGGAGGGGACTAGTATTTTTAGAACGGTCAGCAGTGGCAGTACAGGTTTCCTTTAGTTTACCTACACCCATTATATAGTGTCACCTGCAGAAACTCCCTTGCTCTCCTATTATTATTATCATTATTAATTTCAGGTATTTATATAGAGCCGACAGTGCTGTACGGTATTGTACATTCACATCAGTCTCACCGAGTGTACATGAACCGGCAGTTGCTGCATATGAACATAGAAACTTACATTTTTTGTTGGCTTTCCTGTTCATATCATCATGGGAATGGACACCTCTGTGCTCTGCGTGTATATTACATCTGAGCTCCCCCCCCCCATTCATTAGTATTCATAGTGGCACCCCCATGTAATGTGTGCAAAAGCATAGCTGCTGTTTACTGATCAAGTTACACAGAATCACAGGGAGGGGGGCAGCTGTGTACAGCCCGCTTTACAATCTGACCCCAGTGTCGGACTGAATTTTTCCTGTGCTGAAATGCTTTAATTTGTAGGATTCAAGCCTAATAGAAACTTCATAAACAAATGAAGAAAACCAGCAATGTGAGTCATGAAAATGTGCACGCCTATACATCATCACTGCACCTCTACATTATCACATTAAATGCTAATATATGCTAATCACTTACAAAGCTGGAAAAAGACTTTAAGCTCAAGTCTGGTCAATTTAGCCCATTAGAAATAGGTTGGGCCGATGGTCACGCAAGTCCCAATTTCAGTTTTAGCACCTATTTAAACTACAAAAAGGAGATTGGATCACATGTATTAATGTGTGAAAGCAAATCTGTGCCAGTCATAACAAGCAAGTCAGATTATTTTCATGCCGTCATCGCTTGTTAGGGAAAAATAATTAACCGTGGGCAACACAACAAGTTCTCCTTTCAGATTTTTCATATGAAAGGTCCGTTGTGTCCTGGATATTTACTCATCACCCTCCTGTCTCTCCCCCCCCCCCCCTCAAGTTGCCCAAACCTGC